GCATACGATTTTAATTCTCGGAGTTCTTTTCAAGAAAGGAGTTTTAACGAATAAAAAATCGAAAATTGGACACTTTCAATCGCTTTTAATCTGAAAAATTCAAATTTATTAAAAAATGAACTATAATAAAATGGGATTCCCGCTCTTCGCCAATAAGAATTTCGCCAATTATTGGCGAAAGTCCATTGAACTTTCATCATTTATTTGGCGAAAGTCTTGTGAACTTTCGCCAATATTGGCGACAGTCCGGTGGACTTTCACCAATATTGGTGCAGAACATTTTGAAGGCAATAAATGCGAGAGCAAATGTCTTGCATCGTAAAAATGTACCGTGCTGCGTGCACTTGGGATATATTTGAATATCATCACATCAATTTTTAGTCATAAGCTGCTGGAATAGAAACAAAATGGTAGATTAAATGATGTCAAACGATGCACGTACAAGAAAAGAGAAAAAAAGAGAAAAGAGAGAATAAGATAAATAAAAAATATTGTGAAGACAAATCTAGTCATAATTTGATGATAAATTGGACGATGAGCATGAGAAGTCTGATATTGAAACATTATTTTTTTTCCTTTCTTTCCTCGATCAACAGGTTCCCCAACAAGGTAAGCAGGAAAACATGAATTTTGCAGTGCTGACTTTGACAGTTGACTTTCGGCAATTGCCAAAAGTCAACTGTCAAAGTCAGTACTGCAAAATTCGTGCTATCCGGTAAGCAAGAGACATGAATGTATCAATTAACGATATTTTGCTTGAGTGCAATAAATGTAATAATTTCTTATTTGTTTCCTTTTACGCGTTGCTGCACGAGTTGTGACAGGCATTTATCAAGCAATGTTTATCTGAGAAATTAAAACTAGAGATATATGTGCCAAAATTTCTACTGGAGGATTGATTTAATTATACATCCAGAATGTTGTACTGTAAACTAGGGAATTCACAGTGATAATTTTGAGTCGGTTAGTTGTAATAAAATCTAATAAACTTTGAATTTTCGACTGTATGTTCGCAAATGAGAGGATACCTTATAGGCGCATCTAAGTAAAAGGATCAAGGATCGAATAAGCATGCTCGTAAACCACCATGAATCGTCCGATATAGTTTTATTACATGATTCAGCATCACAATCATCGTTCTCCGTGTATTTTTAAAAAAAGTACGATCTCCTACAAATTTAAACGTAATCGTGTACAGAGTTTGCACTGATAAGAGTGCACACGATCCGCGTTTTCCTCCACATCTATCCTTGATCGATTCTATTTCTCTCCAAGGATACATAGAGATACGATAGCATAAAGCGAATCATCGAATGTACACGGATTTCGTATGCCTCATCTTTGCATATCACAGATGGATAAAATCACCCCGTGCCGCTGCTACACTGATCTGATCCTTGCAGAAAACGTGCACACAGTATCCTAATGTACGAGTGATGCGGAAAAATTTATTGGCAGAGTACAAAGAGACAGGAGAATGTGAGGCGCGTAGGTCTGAGTAGAGGCGTGGGATTATTTTTATTCATCTCTCATGAAGAATGCCGGTGAGGGTTAGAATGAATGCGGCTGTATGTTTCTTGATGCTTCGAATACATCTACACCCGACAATCTAAATATATTCAAGTATTCACTTATATATTAGGCGTAATATTTTCCTCGGATAATATTTATTCCAACGTTCAAAAATAAATTGCTCGATAGATCTATCAAGCAGCATAGATTACGGCATGATTTGGTCTATTTTGTTAAAAGATAATTACAAATTTGTGGTTCAATAGGGTGAAAATGTACTTATGAACTTTTGATATTGTAACGACGATATTATTTTTGAGTTAAGTGTAAGGAAAACAAGTTTTTGCTAGGCCTTGAGTGATTTTCTATTGAAATATTCAGCCGAGTTTCATGTGAATACGTCCTTTTGCCTTCATTTTTTTCCACTTCAATTGTACAGACGGAATACCATCCACCCATACACATTATTCAACTGAATTCATAATGTCTACATATAGAGGACTGCATGAACAGAGCAATGACAATAGAACATATGCAGCAAAGCTCCTTATTATTTTCAAATAAAATCAATTCGGAAACTTTTTGAGCGTAGTATGTAATTATATATATTTCAAAATAGTTTTAAAGAGTAGCAGATTATTTATCTAATCATGCAACGTCCTTTTTCACCGTTGTTCGATATCCTTTGTACTGACGTCTTTTTCCGAATAAAAGAAGCTACTGAATGATTTTTAGGAAAGAAGCTTGAGTTTAGTTTTAAATTCATTTGTAACTTTGTGAAGCATGAAACAAAGTGTCTAGTTTTAGAATCGAGAAATCATACATAACGCGTTTATAATAATTTTCTTCGAAAACCCGGGAGAAAAGTAGCTTCCAGGTTTCTAAGAGAAATGTTTAAGTTTCCAGCGTAGTGTGATTCTAATCGGATTTTTTTGGTTTCGTCAAGAAATGGGCCACACAACCACAAATGGCTGAACCTGTTATTCTTGTGACGGTCGCGGATATCATATAAAGACGTGTCATGGGTGTAATGGCAGTGGGCAAAGCAGATACAGATGTGTATGCAACATCTGCATTGGCAAGGACGAATTCCATTCTCCCGGGTTGAATGAGTGCTATTCTTGTAACGGTACAGGAATTTCCTAATAGTACGATAGATGGTAGCACACGGTATCAATTATCAACGTCATTTTGGAAAAATAAATCATCTGAAACTGCTTACACCACTTTTGTCCTTATCGCCGGTTTATCTCTTTACATTTTATGTATGTGCTTAATTGTTCCCCAATAAAATATGCAAACAACGCGTCAAGGCCATAGATCTTGCTTAGCTGAGCCCTACAAATTTTATAAGATGTAAAACAATGAAAAAAATTATTTGAAGATAAGTGAGTTAAATATTGATATTCTGGGTGTAATTGTGATTGTGTGAGTGAGTGTTGGTGTGGGTGGCAGTATGCGTACTGACATATCTGTGGCTTTAGAAAAAGGCATCAAGGTCCAAAACCCGCCCACATCCAGGACGGGACCGGATACAATCTCTGAATAACCCCTTCCGGGTCTTGCTGAGACAGTTTCTGATCGTTCCGCCAGTTTCTTATCAGAAGTCACAATCTAGCAGTTAGAATGGACAAATGGCGAATCGTGCCAATCAAAGAAGAATGAATGTATCAATAATAACTTACGTAAAGAAAAGAGTTGAGAGACATTGAGATAAATGATTTTCGTTCTTGTAAAATTAACTCGGATAGTAAAGCAAATCGTTTATTCCATGCACCATTGTGTGAGTCATAACATTATTTCGCTATATGTTGAATATCTTATTTCTTTTATACATATTTTAGTTATTTGCATCTTTTTATTGACTTTTCTTTTGTTTTTCATTTTGTACGTATATTTAAACAATATGGAAATAGAACTATATTTGAGCTGTTTGAACATTTTTCGATACTCAACAGATTCGAACAGCTGAAATGGTAAATGGTCAACTAATATAATTGAAGTTGAACATTCAAGTTGTTCGATATAAAATAATCGATCATTAAGTCTATTCTTTTTACATAATGAACACTATTAACTAATCTAATTGACAAAAAAATAAGAAAAGTGGCATATCTAAAAAAAAAACTTGTGTTTCATCAATGTCCGTATCTTTTATCTAGTTCTGAAGTCGACAAATTACTCGAACATGGTTGGGAGCAATATTCAGTACATGCCCAAGAACAGCTGTTGCGTCTTCGAGAAACTTCTTCTTCTCATCAGGTGAAAGAGAACCATAGTTTACAGTAAATGGAATGTTGCCGGTAAAGCAAGTTTGTTAGAGTACATCTTGTAAAATCGTTACTTTTTCTTCTTTGATTCAAGTTGAAAGAGATAAGTGCAGAAAAATATTTGTTTTTTAATTCTGAGAATATGAATAAAATATTCAAAAGATCAGTCTGATACATGAAAAGAAAGTGGGAATTTTCAAGATTGGTAAAGAATAGATCTATGCATGAATAGTAATCAATGAATCAACAGACGTCATAATATAACAATCTAACATTTCTTCATCTATTTCTCAGTTTTATTCGAAAATACTTAACGTAGTCTGATACTAATAAAGGTGATTGATAACGACAAGATATTATCGTGATGTACGGTATCATTCGTCGTTTTCCTGCTGAATCATCAGGATTCGTTGATGATCATGTTCGAAAAGAAACTTTTCGTCGATTTCATATGGTCATTTATAAAGAAATCGAAGTCTATCTGATATCTTAAGGATAACAGGACCATCTGTTTTGTTTTCTTCTCCTGATTGAAGACCAATTTTCGAAGATTCCGAATATCACCGAGTGATAAATCATCACACATTCTAAAAGAAACGTTTCGAAATTCCCTTTCAATCAAAAGAAAAAATAATCAAGTTATCTGTGTCATATTTCAACACATCATTTTTCTTGTGGCTCAAACGTCAGCATCCAAGTTATCTTGATAACTGGGATTTGGATGAGATCAGACATTTATTTAGTAAATTCTTCATTTTATCTAGTTGTGGTATGACGGCATTTTGGATTTCATTCGATATTCGAATTGAAAAAGGATGCATCAAGACATATTTGTACGTCTCACACAGAAGATACATTAATAAATTATATAAGTTTAAAGACACGGCTTCATACAAGCGTATCGGGAGCAAATGCTCTCTAGTCATGTTGTTAATGAAGTCGATAGAGAAGGAAAACAAGAGTGTTTCAGATAGGTAAATTTATTTCATTTATTTTCGTCTTAGACAAAGATTCAGTTCAAATAGTCGTTGTCGAGCATCATTCCGATTCGATTTAGGATCATACCAATTCGAGGATTGTTGATAGTAAGAGGCGCGAAATTGCATCGATTCATGACGTAAGCAAATGTGAGATTTCTGGCCGGAGCAGCAAATGCAATACTACCGCCCGCACCTAAAACGTATCGATTTATTGACATTGAATTTTCTATCGATCGATCTAACCGGAATGACCAAATGATTTAGGGCCAAACATTGGAAAATCTTGTTCGTAAAGCATAAAACCCATACCGACAGGAAACGGTATTTGAAATGTGAGATCGACTTCGTTCGGTAGTGTATTCAATGTTGTGGCGCGTTGCAAGATTCCTGCATCCAATAATCGACTATCCTTTCGTTCATCGATATTGCTTATGAGTGAGGCGAAAATAAGAGCTAACGATCGAGCATTAGTGATGCCGTTTGCCGCCGGAATCTCTGCTTTATGTGTTCGTGGTTCATTGTGGAAATGATACACTGTCAACATGGATGCACTCAAGATGTCTTCGAGATCAGTAAAAATCAATGGTGATACTCGTTGTTCGAACTCTTGTGGAAGACCAATGTAGAATTCAGTTTGTATGCGATCAGCAATTTCTTCTCGAATAAATTCTCCTATTGTTCGCTTCTGTGGATCGACTCGTCGTACAAGTTCGCCAGCTAACCATCCGTAAGTAAATGCGTGATAACCTTGAGCACTTCCAGGAAGCCAAACAGGTGGTTCTTGTTCAAGTAAATGAATCATTGATGTCCAATTCAGATATTGATCGAACGAAGAGACCAAAACGTCAGGCACACCAGCACGATGTGACAAAATATCGGCGACAGTCGTATTCTCTTTACCTTTCTGTCCGTATTCTGGCCAATAGTGCGTCACAAGTTCTGAATAGTCCAAAAGACCTCGTTGAACGCAAAGTGCCGCAGCAACAGCTACTAAAGCTTTCGATGTTGAAAATACCAATTGAAGTGTTTCGTTATCATAGACTTTCGTTTTTGATGCATCAAACCATCCGCCAACTAGATCCACTACTAATCGACCATGATGATATATCGCAATCGAACTACCAGTATCTCGTCCTTGTATGAAATTCTCTCGAAACAAATCCCGTACAAATTCCCAACCATTAGCCGTACTACCATAGACATTTACATCGGTACTAATCACCAGCGAAATACAACTTAACCAACAGATAACAATCGACCACATAACTTTTCCTTTATCTCGTTCTAATCAATAATCAATCAAACTTAAAATGATCATCAATAATTAATACTAAACAAATATCATTGATATTTTGTTTTTCGAAACTATGCTATACAATGTGCATCATGTTGAAAGAAAAATGAAAGACAATAGATTACAAAACGAACAGGCAAGTAAAGGGATTAATCTAAGTACAGAAATATATCGATCGATCAAGAAACAACAACAAAATTGCATGTATGAATGACAATAGTGATTCGCGTGTGTGAATCAGATTCCAGACAGGATGACAACTAGATGATCTTGGGATGAACACAGATTCATTTATATTTAATTCATTTTCATACCATCCGAATGTGCCAACAGATCGGTTGAAAACAGATCAATCTATATTTTTAAATAATATAAATTAATCTGCTACTCTCAGCTTTTGCTTTTCAGCAATCGATTAAGTCGAAATGGAATTTTAAAATATATTTGATAATGTGCTTGAATTAAACATAATAGAATAAAATAATAATGCAGTCTTAATTAACGCCGACGCGTTTCGTGTATTTTATTTAAATTATAAAACACTCTTCAGGGTTCTGCATTACAAAAAAGCACAATTAAAAAGAGAAAATTAAGAAATATTAAAAACGAAAAAAGTAAGAAATATTTCAAAAGTGAAGTTCAAAAATTTCTTTTTCGTTTAAATATAAATCTGTTTTAGTTTTTTGGGTGATGATTGGAAGCTAGTGACAAATATTTTTATCTTTTTGTAGTTGGTCAGATTTTGGATCCACTAATACAGTTAAGCTACTTTTTTACAAATAGCCTTTTTTAGTTCAAATAATTTTTAATAATTATATAATTTAATATTTGTACCTAATTTTGGAATTATATTGTGAATAAATTTCGAAGTTATATCCTATATAAATTTTTTTATGCATAAATTTTATTTTATACCATATTCAAATATTTGGAAAAGAGAATAATATTGTAATTCGAGCATTTCCATGAGTTTTTCTTATATTTGAATTTGAATTTTTAATTTCAAATTTTTAATATATTAGCGACATGAATATATCTATTTTTGGCATTAGTAAATATTTTATCCATCTATAAGGTTTACTTAGACCGTAATTATTTTCCCATATAACGTTTCTAAATCAATTTTAAAATAGTATAATATTATTGTATGCTTCTATTCTTGTAGTATTTATAATACTTAAAATTTATATTTTAACAATCATCATTTAAAATAGTATTGGGCACTTCCATCAGAAGTATACCATAAAAACGCAAAGATCTCAGAAAATGTTTTGAGGTATCAGAGCTTATGGAGCTTTTTGTGCTGATCATTTTGATAAAAAAAATTTTTCTTTTCATCAAAAAATAACGACGCTAGGGTCAAAATACTGAAACATGAAAAAGTCCTATCGGTTACTTGTTTTTTTTGCAGTATTTTGACTCTACCAGCATTATTTGTCAATGAAATAGGGCAAAATTTTATGTCAAAATGATCAGAAAAGAAAGCTCTACAAGCCCTGATGCTTCAAAAGGTTTTCTGAAATCTTTGGGTTCATATATCTGACTATCTATGACTATCCATGTTCAAAAAGTTGATCACCATATAACTCAAAATGGCTATATTCTTGCATAATGGGACTTTGTGGGTTTTGTAGCGTGGAGTCTGCTCTACAAAAGCCCTATACACGGCAATCGAAACACACCGACAAAATAGTGCGTAAAATTCGATAAAACACTAAGGACTATGATTATTCCGGAAAAAGAAGATCTTTTATGCATATTGCTTTGAAATTCCATTTGTTTGAGCTGAAAATTGTAGTATGGTGACATCTGAGAAGTCGAACGATGAAGTCGAATAAGATTTTTAAGTGTATTTTGACGCAGTTGAGAGTATCTGAACAGTGATTTCGATGAAAACTTTTTCTAACCTGTTATTTTGTCGAGTCAACGATGTGTGATTTGAGTTTATATAAAAGAATTTTACAGTAGAGAGCCGACTCTAACTCTGATCCGTTAAACAGTGACTGATTATATGGAAATATGATTCATGTTACTCTTATGGTTATGACACGTTTGTATGATATGGCGTAGAGGACGCATGACTAGTGGTATTAACTACGTAGATTCATTCTTTTTTCCCCTTACATATATAGCCCTGGAAAGCAAAAGCTGCACATGATATTTCGGCTCTTTTAATACGCGAAAAAGACATTTTAAGAAAAGTAATTATACCACTCGATAGCGCTCGAAATTCTCTACCAAACTATATATTTTGATTGTATCTTGCTTTTATCTTCTGAATNTACGAAAAAACGTACTTTGTACTGGTACTTAGGTACATTGTACTCAAGTACATTGTATTTAAGTACGCCGTACTCAGTACATTTGTACTTAGTACATTGTACTTAAGTAAAAGTACAAAGTACAAATCTAAAGTACACAGTATTTGTACTTGTACTTCCTGTACTGGTACTGGTCCAATGTCTGATCAGGAGAGAGTAAACTTATGGAAATAAATAGTGAAAAGCACTTTAGTGGTGTCATAAGATTCTGTAGCCATGAAGACAAAGGCTTCTTTCATCAAAGGACCTCATTTCACTATTACAAGGCCAGAAAAATAAACAACAACTCATGCCAGTGTGCCGATCGGTCTAGTCCAGCCTGACTGTTAAGACCTATACCATTTCCGATACCGCTAGAAAAATAACACTACTGGCTTCAACTCTAGTATAGGTAGTATAGTTAGTATAGGATGCATTGTGTGTGAGTATGTTTGTGGGTAGGAATGAGTGTATGTGAAACGAAGACCAATATCCACCCTCACAACGACTGTTCACCATTACTCTCAATGTTTCAGGAAAACAAGAAAAATTGAAAAAGTCAAGACTAAAATATGTGGTCAAGTTGATTGAAAGGATTGAACTCTGCAATTCAATAAGTATTAACATATTCGAAAGATAGCATGTCATTTTAGCAGAAGTCATTATGCAAAAAATCATGATAGGCCTGTGACACATAATCATGTACTGATTGGAAACAGCCATTTTGAAGAAATTATTTTCTATATTTGAAAGAAGGACACTATCACTATTGAAATACAAACTATTTAGAATGATGACAACATTTTATATGACTAATAACTATAGAAAAGAAATTTAAAAAAAAGGCTGCATCTCATTCGAATTTTTTCTTATCTTTTCATGTGACAGTGAGGAAGTGAAGCAAAAAGCTGAAACATCAACATGTTTTAATCATCCTTCTATTACGAACATTTATGTTGAAGACAATAAAGTATCTGCCTGTGACGCATATGCTGCCGATATGTTGGCGATTGGACTCCATGTATCGGATGAAGGATCGTATATTTCACCGAGTGGTAGACTATAACCGCCAGCCACCAATACTTTTCCAGATGATAATAACGAAGCCGTGTGATAGACACGAGATGATGACATGTTGGCAGCCATGCTCCACTTATTCGATGAAGGATCGTACAATTCACAACTAGACAAGTAATCCCCATTATTTGTACCGCCTGTTACTAAAATTTTTCCTGATAATAGTAATGTAGCTGTGTGCCCAGCACGAGCTGATAACATCTGGGCAACTTGGCTCCACATGCCGGATAAAACATTGTACACTTCATTATTGGACAAGGGCTTGCTTCCATCATTACCACCTATTACTAGAAGTTTTTCCGATGATAGTAAAGTGGCTGTGTGCTGAAAACGTGCAGTTGACATATTAACCACTTGTGTCGATGTGTTCGATAAGATATTGTAAATTTCGCAACTCGACAAGACACTCCCTGCATAACCACCTGCTATTAGCACTTGTCCAGATGATAATAAACTTGCGGTGTGTTGAAAACGCTTTGACAACATATCAGCTGCATGGATCCAACTCATTTGTTTAGGATCGAACAAGTGGCTAGTAGATGTGTATTCTATGAAATTAGAACCACCTGTAACTAATACTTTTCCAGAAGGTAATAAAGTAGCAGTGTGTCCGGTAAGTTCATCGCTTAGACCACCGAGTGCTTTCCAAGTATTGGATTGAGGATCAAAGATCTCACTAACACTTGAACTCAGATCGAACTGATCAGCACCACCTACTACTAACACTTGTCCAGACGATAGTGACGTTGCAGTGTGTTGAGATCGTGATGATGACATATTAGTAAATTGAGTCCACAAATTTAATGAAGAATTGTATACTTCACAACTCGACAAACGATTCCAAGCATTTGAGCCACCTGTTATCAAGACATTCCCAGATAACAATATCGTAGCTGTTTGTTGAAAACGTTCTGAATCCGTCTTATCCACTGGAGTCCACGTATTGTATAAAGGATCATAGAGTTCACCAATTGGGAGAGTGTTCCCACCGGTTGCCAATACTTTTCCAGATGGTAATAGAACGGCTCTATGCTGAATACGTGGTAATGACATGTTGGAAACTAGAGTCCACGTTTTGGATAGAGGATCGTATATTTCACAAGTTGCAAAGCCATCTTGATTATCACCACCTGTGACTAATACGTGTCCAGATGATAATAAGGTGGCAGTATGCCCATAGCGTGGGAATGACATGTTCATCACTGATATCCATTTGTTCGATGAAGGACTGTAAAGTTCACAATTCGCCATGTAATATCCATTATTAAAACCACCTGTGACTAAGATTTCACCGGTAGATAATAAAGTGGCAGCATGTTGCGAACGTGGTTTAGACATTTTGGCAAAAGAAGTCCATGCATCAGATTTAGGGTCATACATCTCACAACTAGATAAGTAATCATTTCCATCAAAACCACCTGTTACTAATACTTTCCCAGATGATAACAAAATAGAAGCGTGTTGAGAACGTGGCGATGACATATTGGCGAGTAAAGTCCATGTGTTAGACGATACATCATACATTTCACAGTTCGAAAAATACATGTTATTCAAGTCTTGATCATAACCACCTATTACTAAAACGCGTCCAGATGGTAGTAAAGTAGCCGTGTGTTGACAGCGCGATACTGACATATCTGCAGCTGCAGTCCATATATTGGATAGGGTATTGTATACTTCACTACGCGGTATACAGCCTACAATAGAATATCCACCTGTTACCAGAACCTGTTCAGTTGAGAGTAGAGTCGCCGTATGCTGAGAACGTGATAATACCATATCAGCAGTTGGCACCCAGGTATTTGATGGAGTGTTGTATATTGCACAACTTGATAATGAGTCCCAACCATCGAAACCACCTGTTACTAATACTTTTCCAGACGATAACAACGTTGCAGTGTGTTGCAAAACAAAAGTAGGAAATTTGGCGGTTGGACTCCACGTATCAGATATAGGATCGTATACTTCACTAAGTGGAGCACTGATACCACCTGTGACTAGTATCTTACGGGATGGTAACAAGATGGCTATATGCTGAAAACGTGGAGCTGACATGCCGGCAACCGGAGTCCAAGTGTTTGATACTGGATCATATACCTCACAGCTAGACAATGCATCGAATATACTATCACTAGATACACCACCTGTTACAAAAACTTTTCCTGATGGTAATAATGTAGTGGTATGTGCAGCACGCGCAGTTGTCATACTAGCAACTGAAGTCCATTTATCCGATCGAGCGTCATACACTTCACAATCAGACCAGTATTTATGCTTATTATCAAATCCACCAGTTATTAACAATTTATCCCTAAATAAGAAAGTGACTGTATGAAAACGACGTCCTTTTGACATCGAAGCTACTGGAGTCCAAGTATCAGATGCAGGGTCATAGATTTCACAAGCTGAATCGTCGTCAGAGCCACCACCAGTCACTAGTACTTTCCCAGATGATAATAAAGTAGCACTATGAGCCATACGAGGTGATGCCATATCAGCGACTAACTTCCACGTATTGGATGATGGATCGTACGTTTCGCAACTGGATAGGATACTATCTTCATCATGCCCACCTATGATCAAAACTTTCTCAGATTTCAATAAGACGGCTTGGTGCTGAGAGCGTTCTGATGACATATTAGGGATCGTTTTCCACGTTTTGTATGAAGAATCATACAATTCACACGAAGAATAAATATTATGATCAGTAGTTTGACCGCCTGTTACTAATATTTGTCCAGATGATAATAAAGTAGCCGTGTGTTCATGACGTGGTGTTGACAAGCTTGGAAGCACTATCCACGTGTCGGATGAAGAAATATATGCTTCACAGCTCGCATAGGAATTTACAAGTTTTGTACCACCTACCATTAATACTGCTCCGGATGGTAATAATGTTCCAGTTAGTCGAATTAGTAAAAATGGTACGTCTTTAATCGAGTTTAAGGACGTTTTTGTTAGTAGTGATGGCATCATGTCTATTTGAGCAGCTTAAATAATGGGCAAAACATCTTTTGTCTGTAGCCTCGAATAATGTTTATGAAACTTATAAGTGGCAATCTGTTTATATTTCGCAGCTTCCGCACATTTTTCTTTCAAGTGCATGATTTTCAAAAACAGAATTCTTCATTTTTCTGGTTTTCTCTCGATTTCACTAGAATTGACGAAGTTTAAACTTTTTCAGTAGAAGATTGTTCAAATACGAACACTTATTTTCAAATAGAGAGGATCAGCAAAATTCTATCTCCAAAATCAAGTACTAATTTTTCCAAATGAATCGTGTTAAACAAAGTAAATACTACAAAACTGTTTTGTACTAGTTTTCGAATCTGTTAAATCGAATATAATTTTGCTTCATCTATATGATGCTATTTTTTCCAGCGACGTTCGGACTTATTCTTATTAGGCGAATAATTTTTGCAAGTAATCATTATAAGTAAAGGTGTAATCGAGCATATTTACTTACATTTGCACTGTTGGGCAATGGCGCCAATAAAACGACCACCACAATCACTCATTTCAACCAATGCTATGGCATTTCCTCGATAGCCGCCACAACGGGGTAATGTAGAAGTCCAATTGCTAAAATAAGCTAAGCAAGTTGCAGAACAATTGCTGATGTAATCGCATAAACATGCTGTTGACCACGATTTCGTGCATTTTGAAACCATTCCAAAGTCTTGAATCAAAGCACCTGTATCATAATTCCGTGCCGAACAGTAGCATCTAGCAGTATTTAGAACAATGAAGAGAATAAGACTCTTCTAAATGTGAATTAAATCATACTTAGTTGAACTTTGGAGCACCGCGTAGTTTTCGTCGTTATTTATTTCGATAGTCTCAAAAGACTTACCGTAGTAAGAATTCTCTTCATGAATATAATTCATGTGATGGTGTAAACCACAAGAATTCTTAGATACAATTAACAAGAGGATCACAGTTAGCAAGTGTTGCATGCTTCAAATTATTGAGCAATGTGGGGTTTAATGTTAAGTGTACGTCTCTTGAGTTATTTCCAATCCAAAGTTCTGTGATTTAATACTTTTTTTATCTCTGACTATGAAGAGAGGCAATTATATAGAAAGTCGAAAGTGTTAGTCCTTTCTTGTGTGAGAGAGAATTACAGCTGCCATTTTTCTCGCTGTGTACTGAATTCAATAGCAGCTGCCTTTTTTTCTCCACATTGTGTCGTTCTGTATTATCGATATGTCGATTGAAACCTTGAATAAAATTACAAATATAGAACAATGTTCTTCTAGAGATTTATCCTCTGTAAAAATAGGTCAATAGTAACAACATGACGCTTTCAAATAAACTACGCGAATTCATACAAGATCAGCTAATTACTAGATCTATGCGCCATTCTAGTTTCCATCACGGCTGGGGGTGTGAGTTCTATTAATAGCAAAAATCATATCCACATCTTCAAGAAAAAGGTTGTGGATGTGAGCTTTTCCTGGCAAATACCAACACTCACACTCCCACCACACATCCCACCCACCCACACCCCACACCGCACACTCCACACCCACCAACACCAACGCCCACTACGCTAATATTCACAGCAGCTCACGCCTGCAACTACATCCACGCCCCACCATCACACCGATATCGGTTAACCGTCACAGTCACCCACTCAAACTACCACCTAATACATCTGCAGTCACAACCCGAAAAATTGACATAAAAGTACTGGTGATGTTCTGCACTACGATTACTTTAACTAAGGAAGATTTCATGTTAGTGAATAAGCTTTATTGGTAAGTTGAGACAAATGGTCAATAGAAAGTACTGTGAAAACGATACGATGTAATTAGAATCAACTGTGAAGATGTATAATGTGAGTTTGTAAACGTGATACTAGATTCAGAGAAAAGCTGAATCTCATTTATCAAAGTCAGTATCAAAGTTATTATCATGGCATGGGGGACTTTTTTAGAGTCTCAATCTCTTGTTCCAGCATTTGGACGCGTTTTTCTAATGAAATTTTGTCGTTTTCAAGTTGCTCGATTAATTTGCTATAAGAATTATATATAGCTATCGCATCACTTATTGGTGGATCAGTTAAAGGGTTCATTCGATTGTCCATATAGAAGTAATTAGGCTTTATTGTAGACATATACATTAATTTATTGTACACAGCTTGAGCGATAATAATGTCTTCAATTGCCATTCCCAGAGCGTTAATCATAATAATTCCGTTCTGAAGGCATTTATCATTTGTATTTGTTTTATCTATTAAATCCCCAAATTCAATCACATGATGTCGCTGAATAATTCCACTATCCACTCCTTGTTTGAACACTTTTTTCGCTTGGGTACATTGAAACCAATTGTCTACGATAATAGCAGATGACTTTTGAAAAACACTCAAGTCAAAATCCATTAATGATAGATTGATTAATAATTTATCACCATTAATATCATCAGCTTTAATGTATGGCTCATTTGCTGAAGTAGTTGTAATAATAATCTCTGCTTCTTGTATAGCTTCCAACCAACTATTACATTTAATAATTTTTCCACTGACAATATCGTCAAAATTACTTTTATGCGAAAAGCATAATATTTTTTCAATTGTAGGAAAATATGTAGGTAGCATGGATGCGTGCATTCGTCCTAATTTTCCCATGCCTATGCATGCAATCTTTTTTGGCGACGGTACAAACATGTCCATCGCTATAATTGAAATGGCGAATGTTCTCATCGAGCTAATAACTCCATCATCCATAATGCACATTGGAGAATTAGTTCTTATGTTGTTCAATATTAAAATAGAATTGGCTCGGTTCACGCCAATTGAAAAATTATTTTCGTGGCTTCCTATCCATTTTATTCCTGCCATACTGTGTTTTCCTTCAAGATAGAATGGCATTGCAATAATTCGATCGCTGCCACTTTTTGTAGACCTTCTTTGTAGGTAATGCTTTACCGGTTGTGTTATATGAAACTCATCAGTCTTGAGTATTGTTAAAGCTTTCAATACATATTCTTTTATGAAGTTCATGTCGTTTTCGATAATTTTTTCGACAATGGGAGCATCGATAATTGGAATAGCCACATACGGTTTCCTCTCAATGTCGAAAACATTGTTTGTTGATAGATAACCAATTTTTTCCATAAGTGGGTGTATCTGTGGCATGACCTGTTCTATTTCAGATTCATTTAAATCTCGTTTCCACCGACCAATCGATTCTGAAGATATAGGCCTTGTAGCTTCAGTATTTTGCGGAAAATTAAATGGATTTCTTGAATGATTGTCAATTGCATAGTAGTTCATCATCGATTGTTCAAATTCAACACCAATAAATTGACAAATATTCTTTAACGTTTGGTTCGTATTGAACACAAGAGCTTCATACTGAACTTCCATGTAACTTGTATTATTTCGAAAAAGTACACCATCTTTAATAGATAGTAACCATCGATCGATGCAGTCTTGCAAAGGCATGACAAACCCAGTAGGAACTAATTTTCCATCAGATACCATTCGTTTTCTGTGCACTTTTAAAGACGCTACTACATCCATACCATTTCGTATCACATGTAGTATTTTAGCATTTGGAAAATGTTTCAAAATATATGCAATCCGATGGATGTTTCTTGATGTTTTATCGGCCCAAATCGTTTTGTTCGTTTTTAGCAAATAATGTTTGATAAACATTTCAATAAATTTCACTTTACTGTTACACATATTGAACATTGTTTCCAGTGTTTCTAATTCAATGTCAAACTTCTTGGATAGATCGTTTAAATCTATTTTTAATGGTAACAACAATTGTGATTCGGGGCCACATGCTATACGAGAATGAGTATCCAACATAACTCGTAGCAGTGTAGTTCCACTCCGACCACAGCCACCTATAATAACAATTTTCTCGTTGGAGACATAATTGTCCTCCACGTCAACTTGAAAATCAGAGTTTTTCCACCGTTTCAATTCGTGTGCCTGGACTTCGTTGATGCTTTCATTTTCGGTCATTTTTAGAAACTATATACACAAGTTTCGAAATATTTTTCAATCGTCCAACAGAACAGTTTTCGTGAAAAGTTGAAGCCCGATACGTATTACTCGTTTGGTTGTATATCTATCTAGAAAAAAAAATCAATGCTTCTAACCATCATATGTGACCAAAGCTGACGTACCGCACAATTTGTGTGGCAGTTCTCTCAATTTATTCCAACTCCACAACTTTAGCAAGTGTCTTCTAATTACTCCTCTATAAGTTTCTTGCAATGTACTACCATGCATTCCATTCGATTAGTGACCTCATCTGCCTTTCTTCACAACAGCAAACAGCTTTCGATAAACGTTACACTTCAAAGTACTCCACTTACCGATTACTTGAGAATTAAGTCACCCAACAATACCAAGAGTACCTGACACAATACGAGAATTGTCGATCTCCTACGAGTGATATTATATTCAACTGCAATCATACATCTAGGGGTGGGAAGTTCCCGTTACGTTCCCGGGTAACGGTAACTTTTCCGTTACCAGTTACCCGGGAACGGGGAACGGTCCGTTACTCCGTTCCCGGGTAACTGGCAACTTTTCCCTTATCAGGTACCCGGGAACAGTAACGGCCCGTTACCAGTTACCTGCGAACGGGGTAACGGAAAATGCTCTCCTTCCTATTTTCCTTATGAAAATGATTTTTGAAAAAAAATTTGTTTTTCAAATTTTTTTTTAATGCAGAAATAGACTTTTTGTGAAAAAATAATTTTTTTCGAAAACACCTCAAAATTTTGTTGTAAACAATTTTGTTTACTAAAAAAATTTGTTTACCAAAAGGTTTTTTCAAAAACGATTTTTATAAAGAAAATAGGAAGAAGAGCATTTTCCGTTACCCCGTTCGCAGGTAACTGGTAACTTTTCCCTTACCGTTACCCGGGAACGGAACGGTCTGGTAACGCTAACTTCCCACCCCTACATACATCTAATTTCGACTTCAATCTTTTCTGTCTGCAGCGAATACAGTAAGACATACATTGTACTCACCATACGCAACGCAATAAACCTTTGTATTAGTCAGAAAAAGCTAATATCTTTCTCTATTTCACATATTCCACAATACATGCACAAACAACACGGACTTATCAGCTGTAAGCTCGTCTCTACTTATATACTGTTATCTAATAATAATCTATTACCCACTCATTCTTTTCAGCCAACCAGACATTTTATTTTCATTATTCAATATGCTGTTATCATTTACATTTACTGTGTCAATAGACAAGTTCGAAACTCGGGCGCGTGATTCGTGAAATGTTATTATTAGGGTCTAGATGTTTCACCCTTCTTATTTATTTTATTTTCGCTGAAAAATGCATGCACACACATATATCTATATCATATCTTATATCTAGGAAAAACATGTATATATATGTGTCTATATCACAATTTGAGGACGTGTAAATGAGAACGAAAGCGAAAACAAACAACCGAGCTGGCATCAGTTCTAAGACGAAATGAAAAGAAAAAGAAAACAAGAGAAGATACCAAGAGAAAAGAAACAATAATAGCATATGTGAGGGCCGGGCCCGCTAAAGTTATCTTCTTTCGGCGAAAAAATTCTTTATTCTCAAATTACGAACAGTTATCTCGTCACCCAACATGCATCATTAGTAGACCTACGACAGTTCCAGCTCGTGAACTGAGCTCAAAAGAGCGAATGAACTGTTCTAAAAATTCAGTTCAGTTCGAAAGAACTGTTCGAACAGTTCCCCAGAACTGAGCTGAACTGTTCGAACAGCTCAGCTCAGCTCGGTAGAACTGGTCAACCAGTTCATCTCAGCTCGAAGAACTCATAAAACCAGACTATATACACGTACCCATAAGACCTCACGAGTAGGCATGCACCAAACCCAAACTCAAACCCAAACCGTTTGGGAGTTTGGGTTTGGGTATTGAGTTTGGGTTTGGGTTTGGGTTTGGGTATATGAGTTTGGGTTTGGGTTTGGGTTTGGGTA